CAGGGCTGGAAGCCATCTGACCAGGGCTAGCCCCGCTTCCTGCAAGGAGTGGCAAGCAGGAAGACTGTCAGTCCTGTGGCCTCTTTTCTGTGTGACGTTTTATAGCACAAATAGCTTCAACTGTTACCTTTGAGAGGGACGTGGCAGCCTGCTGGTGCAAACAAACTTAGATCTCATGATCCCAGGTGATGACGTCCGGACCCCCAAGAAGAGAGTCGTCTCTACTTGGGCCAGACCAGTCTGGACCGAATGAAATTAGTCTCCAGGGGACTGTTCGGACCAACCCATTTCACAGGAGGGCTAATATCAAACTGTGTAGGACCAGGAGACAAAAACCAGCTCAGGCAGTAAAGAGCCAAGAATTAAGATTATAGAAGGCAGGGTTGGAAGTATTGGCGATGTTAAGTTGAGGGACTGGAAAGTGAGAGAGAGGAGGGGTGCATGCACTTATGTTGCTGTCCCCATAGCATCCCACCTTGTGTGTTCATTGGCTGTCCATGACTGTCATCCTCTCTCGCTGTTTATTCAAAAATATTCAATGTGGGGCACCTGGCTGGCTCTGTCGGCAGACCACGTGACTCTTGATTTTGGGGTTGTGAGCTGGGGCCCCACTTTGGTTGTACAGATTACTTTAAAAAAATAAAATCTTGGGGCAGCCTGGGTGGCTCAGTTGGTTAAGCGTTTGACTCTTGATTTTGGCTCACATCATGATCTCACAGTTTGTGAGACTGAGCCCTGAGTGGGGCTCTGTGCTGATAGCACGGAGCCTACTTGGGATTCTCTCCCTTCCTGTCTTTCTGCTTCCCTCCATTCATGTGCATGCACTCTCTCTCTCTCCCTCAAAATAAATAAACATGAAAAAATTTAAAAATAACAAAAGAAAATCTTTTTCAAAAATATTCAATGGGCATCTACTTTGTGCTGGACCTATACCGTTCAATACCATAGCCACTAGCCACAGGTGGCTTCATAAGTTACACTAAAATTTGGGACGCCTGGGTGGCTTAGTCATGTCCGACTTTAGTTTAGGTCATGATCTCACGGTTCGTGGGTTCGAGCCCCACGTCGGGCTCTGTGCTGATAGCTAGTTCAGAGCCTGGAGCCTCCTTCAGATTCTGTGTCTCCCTCTCTCTCTGATCCTCCCCTGCTCACACTGTCTCTCTCAGAAATAAATAAAACATTTTATGGGGCACCTGGGTGGCTTAGTCGGTTAAGCGTCCGACTTTCGCTTAGGTCATGATCTCTCGGTTCGTGGGTTCGAGCCCCGCGTCGGGCTCTGTGCTGACAGCTAGCTCAGAGCCTTGAGCCTATTTCAGTCTCTCTCTCTCTGACCCTCCCCTGCTCACGCTGTCTCTCTCTCTCTCTCCTAGAAATAAATAAAAACATTTAAAAAAATTTTTAAAAAAAAGAAATAAAACATTTTAAAAAATTGTAATAATAAAAAATTTTTTAAGTTCAGTTTTTCAGGGGCGTCTGGGTGACTCAGTTGGTTGAGTGTCCAACTCTTGGTTTCAGTTTTTAGGTCATGATCCAAGATTCATGAGGTTCAAGCCCCGCATTGGTCTCCTTGTGGAGCCTGTTTGGGATCCTCTCTCTCCCTCTCTCTCTGCCCCTCCCCACCTCTCAAAATAAGTAAACTTAAAAGAAAACAACAACAAGAATTCAGTTGTTCAGTTGCACTAGGCACACTTCAGGGGCCCAGTAGCCAAATGTGACTTGGGGCCAGCATATTGGAGAGTGCAGACGTAGAACATTTCCATCAGAGCAGAAATTTCTGTTGCAGCGCTGTGTTGGGCTTGTATCAGACTTCAGCAATAAATCCAGCTGTAAACAAGACTCTGTCACTGCCGTTATGGAGCTCACAATCCAGGGAGAGAAACCAGTAAATGGAAAATCATACCATGTTAGGGAAAGTGTAGGGGCCTCGGAAGCACAAAGGAAGGGGAGCTAACTCAATCTGGAGGAAGAGAGGATTGATTAGGGGAGACCTGAGAGTAGAGAGGGAAATGGCCTCAAAGCTGAGGATAGTTAGCCAGACAGGCAGGTGAGGGGTTGTAAGGGAGATGCCCTGGCCAGAGGGAACATGGCATGCAAGGATTCAAAGGCAAGAGCAAGGTGAGACATTTGGACTTTATCTTCAATATCAGTTATCTATTGTCTATACCAAACCACCTCCAAAGCTTATTGGATTAAAATGACAAGTGTTTATTTGCTCACAATTCTGTGGGTTGACGGATTGGGCTGGGTTCAGATGGGCTATTCTTCTGATGGTTATTCACTTGTTTGCAGTCGTCTGATGGTTCTCTTAGGGCTGGATGGGCTAAAATAGTCTCACTCGCATGTCTGCCATGGGGTGTTAGTTATTGGATGGGCCATGTATCTTAAACAGACTAGATTGGGCTTCTTTCCATGGTGCAGTGTTCCAAGAAGACAAGAGCAAAGGCTACAAAGCTCTTTCAGGCTTAAACTCAGAAGTAGCACAATGTCAAAATAAGTTACAAGACCAGCCCCAATGGGAGAATTTTTGGCCAGTTTTAATCTGTCACACTCTGGCATGACGTTGGCTGGAAACTCGGTGGTGGGTAGAGAAAAGTGGACAGATACTTTTTTTTTTTTTTAAGGCTATTTCATGGGCAGTATTAAGAAGTCTTGGGGTTTGTTCCGGAACAAAGAAGAGAGAGTGAAGCTACAAAGTTATGAATGACTCCAAGATCCTTGGTGTGGGTGGGTGATTGGTGAATGGTAGTGCCCAACACTCAGAGAGAAAAGAGGAAGAACAGGTTTGGGGGGAAGATGATGTTTCCAGTGTGAGTCATGCTGAGAATGAAGTATTCTAGACAGGCAGGTGGAGATGGACAGAAAGCAGGTGGATTTGCAGGTATAGGGAGCAGTCTGGCTAGAGATACCAGTTTGGGAGTCTCAGGTGCCTTAAGCCTAAAGCATTTTCTGGAAGAGCTGCATCCTCAGAGCTGGAGAATCTTGAGGGCAGGGATCAGGTAAGTCAACTCTCTAGCTCCCCTGAGCCTCGCCCAGTGCCTCAGGGCAAAACAGTCTCTCCTGGTTGAAGTTTGCCTGGTTGTTTTGGGCAAAAGGGATTGAGTTTGTAGAGACAGCCTTCCGCTCTGAACTAAGATTAGTGTTGGGTGGGGGTAGACCCCAGCTCCTGTCAGGAACAGGACACTGACTCAGAAGGTAATGAGTGCATCATCAGGGAGGGAAGTCAATAGAGACCAAGGATCGCCCATCAGGAATGTTGTGGAGGGTGTTGCCTCTTTGCATTGGAGAATAGACCCAATGGCCAGCCCTGATACTCTGTGAAGGTGACTTTCTCTTGCCCCCACTACTCCTGTTCCCACAGTCACCGAGCTTTCAGAGACTCCACATGTCTTCGTTGTAGGCAATTCTGTAGGGAGATCAGGACTGCAGCAGGTCCCCACTAGGTGCAAGAGAAATGTTGGCTAAGATCCCATTCATTCATTCATTCATTCATTCATTCATTCATTCATTCGTCCATCCATTCAACCAACTTACTCTGCACCAAGCCCTGTGCACTAGGAATACAGAAATGAATAGACTCTAGTCTGAGAGCAATGCAGCTGTAGCTGCTGTTCGTTTCTGGAACTGTCTTCCCATTGGATCTCAAGATGATACTGAGGGGTCTCTTTGCTGTGGTGCTGGGGTGTAATGGTTTGATGAAAGAAACAATGAAAGGAATAGGGGTGGGGGTGGGGGTGGGGAAGGGAAGACCTAGGAAAGTGTCCAAGGGAGAAATCACCCAGTGGAATCACGGAAACTCCAAAAAACGAGAAAACACCTTCATGGGGGCGAATAATTATTTAAAAGGTGACGTTTATTCAGTACTTTCCGGGTGCCTGGTACGGTGATACAGCTTTTCTTGCGTTCTGTGGATTCCCAGACAGCGCGGTCTTTTCTGGAACCTCATCATTGCTTGGTTCCAGTCAGAAAATAGGGCGGGACGCTCTGGGCCTGGCCTCGGGGAGACATCAGGTGAGCGGAACTGCAGTTCGGGGGCCGGGGGAGCGCCCGGAGGCTTTTATGCGGGAACTCCTGCCCTAGCGACGCGCGCCTCGTTGCTAGGGGCGGTGGCGTGGGAGCCTGTGGAGCGTGGTGGGAGCCTGTGGAGCCGGTGGCTGCCGACTCTCTGCACTCTGCGCCCCCGCCGGCCCCAGCTCCCGGCCCGGCCCGCCGGCTGGAGGGTATGGAGCACGAGCTGGGGGGGAAGGGGACGGGAGGGACGCGCAGGGCGGTAGGAGTCCTCGCGCTTTGCAGGCTGCAGCCGCTCGCCTGGCCAAAGCGGGGAGTTCTAGGGCCGGCCTTGAGGTGGGTGGTACTATAAACCCCCGTTTGGGTGAACTACGCACCTACCCCACCCCGAGCACACTAAAAATAAGCTTTGGCAGTCCACATGGTTAGAGAGGGGGACATTTGTGATCTCAAGGGATAGGAAGGAAAAATTGTACACAGGTTATTCTCCAGATTTGGGCGACCTTGGAACTTGTGGCCTTAGTGTGGACTCCCTGTGAGACTCTGGGCAAGACCCACTTATTCTCTGGGCCTCAGTTTCCCCTGTCTACAATTAGAGGGTCGCCTCAGACCTTCCAGGGCTTCCACCGTGGTTTTGTTTGTGTTTGAGCCTTCGTTTTGATGTCTTGTGCACAGAAGATTTGGGCAGAGGGAAGGAGATATGAAATCAGCATTTACATGAACAGTGGACCAGGAGTCCAGGGCCTTAAGATCCAGTACCCCGGCTCGGCCTCGTGTGACCTTTAACAAGTCACAACCCTCTGAGTCCCGCTTTCTTCATGGAAAATAACCGCTGGATATACGCTGGAGTCTATCAAGGAATGCAATGGAGTTGGAAGAGCATTCTCTGGGTTATGTTTAGAGTGACCATTGGGCGTCTTAAGGTCTTTGGAAACCAAATTGGGGCCGAAATGGTTTCTGGGATTCAGATTTAGGCCTGGAACCAACAAGGATATCCAACGCCAATAGTTGAGTTTATGGCTTTTCCCAGCCCCCTGCTGGCTATCCTGACCGAAATCTGGGACCGAGCCCAGGTAACTCCCCTGAATGTTTTGCTGCTGGGCAACTTTAAAGGACCCTTATGTGGTCCGGTTCTTAAATAGCTTCTTGTAGGGTGCCAGGCTGGCTCAGTGAGTAGAGCATGCGACTTCTCAGCTCAGGATCACTTGAGTTCAAGTCCCACATTGGACATGAAACCTACTTTAAAAAAAAAAAAAAGGTTCTCTCAAGCAGACTCTTCCTGTTACTGTGCCGTTATGCATTCATTCCACGGGTATTTGCATTTCATCCATTCTCCCAGGCTATGCTTAATGCTCAGGTACAAAAGTGAACAAGACACAGCCCCTCCTGTCAAGTATATTATGTGTTCACAGTATAAACCGTGGAGGGTGACTGAATAGTATTTTCACTTCTTAGATTAGTCTCATAATAAGTCACAACTACAAGGACATTACTCACATACATATACTTTGTTGTTGAGATTTCATTTTATTTTTTTTAAATGTTTAGTTTTGAGAGAGAGAGTTCATGCATATGCATGCACCGGGGAGGGGCAGAGAGAGAGGGGGGGGACAGAGGATCTGAAGTTAGCTCTGTGCTGACAGGAGAGAGCCTAATATGGGGCTCGTGAGATCAGAGCCCAAGTTGGCTCCTTTACGGACTGAGGCACCCAGGTGCCCTTGTAGAGTTTTAAATTGCCTTGGTATATAATATATAACTTAATGAATTCTTAGTGTGATCAATCACTCTGGTCAGGAGACATAATATTGGCTTCGTTTTAATATCCTTCAGATTCATATACCCATTTGTGTATGTTCTCTGTGTATATTTGTTACATATGTTTAATATATGTGTATTAATAGTAGTATTAAAGGGCGCCTGGATGGCTCAGTTGGCCGAGCCTTCAATTCTTTGATAGCGGCTCAGCCCCAGTTCGGGGCTCAGCACTGAGTGTGTAGACTCCTTGGGATTTTCTCTCTCTCCACCCCTCCCCTGTGCATTTGCACACGTTCCCTCTCACTCTCCCTCTGAAAATAAATTTTAAAAAATAATAGTATTCAGGATGAAGTTGGCAGAAATTGTGTCTTTCAGTTGAAATCACTGTTAATCTATCGATCATGCTAGTAGCCATCATTTATTATCAACAGTTTGCCGGGTTGAACTGAAAGCTTTCTATGCACAAGCTTTTATAGAGGTGCAGTATCGTATGCTGATCAAGAACAAGGCCTCTGGAGACAGACCGCCTACATTCAAGTTTCAGCCCTGACACTTAGTTGCAACTTATCTGTAAATCTGAGCAAGTTATTTAACATCTTTGTGCCTTGATTTTCTCATCTGCTAAATGAAGATAGTAACCTTATATAGCTCAGAGGCTTGTGGAATAAATCAAAAGAGCTAATAAATATAAAGCATTAAAATAGTCCCTGGCACACTGTAAGTGTTACTTTTATTTAAAAAAATTTTTTTAATGTTTTATTTATTTCTGAGAGAGAGAAAGAGAGAGAGAGCATGAACAGGGGAGGGTCAGAGAGAGAGGGAGACACAGAATCTGAAACAGGCTCTAGTCTTTTAGCTAGCTGTCAGCACAGAGCCCAATGTGGGGCTCAAACCATGAACTGTGAGATCATGACCTGAGCCAAAGGCACCCCTGTAAGTGCTACTTTTAATCTTTACAGAAGCCCAGTGATAGAGATACTATCCCATTTTACATATGGGAAACAGACTCTGAGGGCTTAAGCAACTTGCCCAAAGCTGCAGTAGAACTGTAATTCAGACCTAAGTCTGTCTAATTTCTATTCCAATGCACTAAATCAAATGTTATTCTGACTCTGCTGTGTTTCTCTTCATTTTATTTTATTTTATTTTATTTTACTATTTTTTAAAGTTTTATTTATTGGTGCTCCTGGGTGGCTCAGTCGGTTGAGTGTCTGATTTTGGCTCAGGTCATGATCTGGCAGTTCACGAGTTCGAGCCCCGTGTCAGGCTCTGTGCTGACAGCTCAGACCCTGGAGCCTGTTTCAAATCCTGTGTCTCCCTCACTCTCTGCCCCTCCCCGGCTTGCACTCTGTCTCGCTCTTAAAAATAAACATTAAAAAAAATGTTTTAAGTTTTATTTATTTGTTTTTGAGAGAGAGCAAGTGAGGGAGGGGCAGAGACAGAGGGAGACCAAGAATTGCAAGCAGGCTCTGAGCTACCAGTCCAGAGCCCAACATGGGGCTTTTTCTCACAAACCGTGAGATCATGACCTGAGCCGAAATCAAAAAGTTGGATGCTCAACTGACTAAGCCACACAGGCACCCCATGCTCTTCATTTTTTGAATAAGCTACTCTGTCAGTTGGTATTTAGAATTTTTTATTCAAGTTCTTAAAATAGAGCTGTTAAAATCTACTAAAACTGTTTCTTCTTTGTAGATGTTTATAAGGGAAATTCTGGACTAGAAGTCAGGAGATCTACCTAGTTAGAATTTTGAGCATATAATGTTTCTGCCCTGATTCTTCAGATCTTTTTTTTTCTTTATTATTATTATTATTTTAAGTAGGCTCCATGCCCAGTATGGAGCCCAGTGTGGAGCTTAAACTCACTACCCTGAGATCAAGACTTGAGCTGAGATCAAGTGTTGGGACACTTAACCAGCTGAGCCACTCAGGTGCCCCTTCAAATCTTTAAATAAATGGTTTATATGTGATGTTTTTGAAAAGCTCTTCCACAATTCAAATCTTATGATTCATATTTATTAATGTATTATTTTAAACAGGAGAGGACTGCTCAGGAAACTCAGGAGAGTTTCAGCTCAGGTCATGATCTCACGGTTTGTGGGTTCGAGCCCTGCATCGGGTGGAGTGTGGAGCCTGCTTAGGATTCTGTCTCTCTCTCTGCCCCTCACCCGCTTGCACACACCCTCTCTCAAAAATAAATAAATGTTTTTAAGCATTTTTAAAAAATTTTATTCATTTTTGAGAGACAGAGACAGAGCATGAATGGGAAAGAAGCAGAGAGAGAGGAAGACCCAGAATCCGAAGCAGGCTCTAGGCTCTGAGCTGTCAGCACATAGCCCGATGTGGGGCTCGAACTCACAACTGTGAGATCATGACCTGAGCTGAAGTCGGATGCTTAACCGACTGAGCCACGCAGGTACCTCTAAATGAACAAACATTTAAAAAAAATAAATAAAGAGGAGAAGTTGCCATTCTCACAGAAACAGTAAGGTTTGAAGTAAGCAGTCAGCTCTGAACATTTTTGGAATGGGGTACCTGGGTGGCTCAGTTGGTTAAATGCCTGCCTTCGGCTCAGGTCATGATGTCGCAGTTCGTGAGTTTCGGCCCCTTGTTGGGTTCTGCACTAGCGGTGTGGAGCCTGTTTGGAATGTCTTTCTCTGCCCTTCCACTGCTCACTCTCTCAAAATAAGTAAGTAAAACTTAAAAAAAAAATTTAAATATATCCTACTTTGTATATTTATTTATTCATTTATTTATTTAAAATTTTTATTTTTAAGCCATCTATACTCAGTGTGGGGCTCAAACTCACAACACCAAGATCAAGAGTTGCATGCTTTACCCACTGAACCAGCCAGGTGCCCCCCCCCCCCATTTGTATCTTCCTCGCTCCTTTCCTTCCTCCCTTCCTCCCCTGCTTCCTCCCACCTTCCTTTCTCCCTTCCTTCTTTCCTTCTTTCCTTCCAGTAGTCTCCATACCCAAAGTAGGGCTTGAACTCATGACCCGAGATCAGGAGTCACATGTTCCACCGACTAAGCCAGCCAGGCACTCTCCTACTTTGTATATTTTAAAATAGATCTATCCAGGCACGTGGTTGGCTCAGTCAGTAGAGCATGTGACTCCTGATCTTGAGGTGGTGAGTTCAAGCCCCACATTGGGTGTAGAGCTTACTTGGTTAATTACTCAATTAATGAAAATAGATGTATAATTAACATTTTGGTATACTTTTCCTGATTTTTGGAAATCTACCAGTTATATGATCTTGGAATTTGGTAGGACATCTCTTTCTTTGTGAGGGAAAACTACACTTAACAATCTCTTTAATTAAACAAAGTATTTACCTTGTGATTCTCCTTTCAGTGCAAACAAAGATACTTAGAGAAGAGATTAATTTAAGCGTCTTTTCAATAATTACAGAGATTAGCAAGTGGCTGCCTGTACTATTTTCCGAAGGATAAATGTTACACTACATTGAATACTGCGGCTCACCAAGAAAACCCTGTTGGTCAGGGGGTAAGTAATTCTAAAAGTTATCGCTTGCTTAGAATGTCCTGTGAATTCAGATGGGAATATGGCTCTCCAGATGCTATCAGCTAAGAATCCAATCAGTTTTAAGCAAAGCCAATCCATTTATAGCATTTGCTGTTTTGGGTGACCTAGATCTATGCATGGCATCTGTCCTTAGTTAGACAATAATGTTGAAAAAAATGGGCTACGCAAGCAGACAGGAAGCCCTGTGGCCTCTATCCATCTATAAGCAATGCAACATCCCAAGAGTCTTGAAAATTATCCTGGAATTTTTTTCTGTCAGCATATCGAAGGCTTGTTATAGAGAATCCTAGGATGTCTGAACTAGAAGGGACCTTAGATTCACTACTTAACAAGAAATGTTTTTGCCATACTGTGCCAGCCACTTGGGGTACAAAGATGAATATGAGAGTCCTTCCTCTTAGGGAGCACACAGCCTTCTAAAAATCATTGAATCTGTATCCTCATGTATAGATGGGGAAGCTGAGATACAGAGCAGGCAATGGAAGAACCCAAGGGCTCACAGTAGGATAGGGCAGAGTGGGGGCGGGAGCCCAGCGCTCTCCGTCGGACACACCATGTTCTTTTCTCTGCACGTGCTTCTGTACTGGGTACCCGTGTAGTTGGGAGGGCAGTGCTGGCAGTTGCTCAAAATGTAAGCTGAAATTCTTCTGGAAAACTTAAAAAAAAATTTTTTTTCATGTTTATTTTTGAGAGAGAGAGAGAGAAAAAGAGACAGAGTGTGAGTGGGGGAGGGGCAGAGAGAGAGGGAGACACAGAATCTGAATCAGGCTCCAGGCTCTGAGCTGTCAGCACAGAGCCTGACGGTCGGGGCTCAAATTCATGGACCATGAGATCATGACCTGAGCTGACGTCGGATGCTTAACCCACTGAGCCACCCAGGTGCCCCTGGAAAACTGTTTTTGTTTTTTTGTTTTTTTTATCAGGCAAACAAGTCTTATTTTCACCTTACGTACTTATAAAAATGTAGTTTTGTGAAAAGTTTAAGGTTATGCAACATTTATAAATAATCTCGCAAACATACAGAGTAAATCAAGTATGTGCAATAACTGAACTACAGCTGTGAAATATATAATTTCTGTTTAATTCACGGGCTCAGCCATAGGTGCACTTATCTCCAGGCATAAAGGTTGGGTTTCATTATTTTAGTGTTTTGTTTCCAACATTCATGCATTGGAAAACTGTTTTTTAATGGTATCACTGAGAATACTTGGCAAATTTTAACTGCTTTTCTTCCTGTAGACCCTTCTTCCTCGAGCTGGGCCAGTCATGCCCGTATGAAACTCCTCTCCTAAACTTTAAACAGTCACAGAGGAGATGGGCAGTGAGTACTCTCGCCCCCGTGTACTCCGCTCTCTCCTCTGGCTTCTCAGAAGAGCTAGTTGCAGCGGAAACGTGACCAGAGTAGCTGAGATTAGCCCCTAGTCAGATCTTCAGCCCCAGCAGATACGCACGCTGGCCGTGTCTTCCTGTCACTTTTTTCCTGTTTCACCAGCCACCAGTATAGGAGCTCCACAGATTGGGCGCTTAGGAGGTGTTCTCTGAATGAATATATGGATTAGCACTTTGAATGTCTAATTCGTTGTCTTAGTTATAGCCTTATTAGTTGTTGGGGACATTGCAAATAAATCTGAAAAACAATAATTCTATTTATTCTAATGTATCACCCACTTTTGACATTACTTAAGTTCTAGGCCAGTGGTTCTCAAACTTTTTGGCCTCAGGACTTCCTTTTACTCTTAAAAATCACTGGGGATCTCAAAGAGCTTTTGTTATGTAGGTTTAGATTGGGTTCTACTCTGCCACCTACTGACATTAAAACAGATATTGAAAATAATTTTTTTCATTACAAAATTAAAGAAAAAAATTTTTAATGTTTAATTTTTGAGAGAGTGAGAAAGAGTGCCAGCAGGGGAGGGGCAGAGAAAGAGGGAGACACAGAATCTGAGGCAGGCTCCAGGCACAGACCCCAACACAGGGCTTAAACTCACGAGTCGAGAGATCATGACCTGAGCCATAGTCCACACTTAACCGACTTAGCCACCCAGGCGCCCCCTCAAAAATATTTTTTATGTTTATTTATTTTTGAGAAAAAGACATAGTGTGAGCAGGGAAGGGGCAGAGAGAGAGGGAGACACAGAATCCACAGCAGGCTCCAGGCTCTGAGCTGTCAGCACAGAGCCCAACGTGGGGCTTAAACTCACAAACCCCGAGATCATGATATGAGCCGAAGTCAGTCACTTATCTGACTGAGACATCCAGGTGCCCTTTATGTTAAAACAGATATTTTAAAAATGTTTATGTATTCAATTTAAAATAATAATTATAAACCTATTACATGTTAATATACTTTTATAAAAAACATGCTTTCTAGGGGTACCTGGCTGGCTCAGAGCATGTGACTCTTGATCTCAGGGTCGTGAGTTTAAATCCCTAACTTAAAGCCTATTTAAAAAAAAAAGTAAGAAAAAAAATGCTTTCCAAAACACACAAAAAAATTGGTGGAGGGGCACCTGGGTGGCTCAGTCCATTAAGCATCCAACCTTGGTCCAGGTCATGATCTCATGGTCCAACTCGGGCTCTGTATGGAGAGCTCAGAGTCTGGATCCTGCTTTGGATTCTGTGTCTCCCTCTCTCTCAGTCCCTCCCCAATTCGTGCTCTGTCTCTCTCTTCTCTCTCTCTCTCTCTCAAGAATAAATAAAAACAGGGGCGCCCAGGTGGCTTAGTCGGTTAAGCGTCCGACTTTCGCTTAGGTCATGATCTCGCGGTTCGTGGGTTCGAGCCCCGTGTTGGGCTCTGTGCTGACTGCCAGCTCGGAGCCTGGAGCCTGTTTCAGAGTCTGTGACTCTCTCTCTCTCTGACCCTCCCCTGCTCACGCTGTCTCTCTCTCTCTGCTAGAAATAAATAAAACATTAAAATAAATAAATAAATAAAAACATTAAAAAAGAACTTGATTGTAAGAGAGTGGCATTGTTTTACATTTTTGTAGTTCTTGTTCACATGTTTGGTTTCAACATAAGGTGGTTGGGGTTTTTTTTTTTTAATGTTTTATTTACTTTTGAGAGAGAGAGAGACAGCATGAGCAGGGGAGGGTCAGAGAGAGAGGGAGTCACAGAATCTGAAACAGGCTCCAGGCTCTGAGCTAGCTGTCAGCACAGAGCCCAACGTGGGGCTCGAACCCACGAACCATGAGATCATGACCTGAGCCAAAGTCGGACGCTTAACCAACTGAGCCACCCAGATGCCCCAAGGTGGTTGGGTTTTTATATTATATCTGCTTCTGCATTTGATCCATTGTCACGTTACTGGGGTTGTAACATTGTAACTGGGGTTGTAGCGTAAGAAGGAAATCAAACCTCACACAGAGATGTGGTTGGAAAAGGAAGGGCCATACAGACTCCTTGAAAGGGTCTCAGGAACCCCTACCAGTCCTCAGATCATGCTTTAACAACTGCTTGTCTAGGTCACTACCTATATTGTCTCAGTTAGTGTCCTTAGCTCTTGCACCTCATTGTTTTCTTTTCTTTTCTTTTTTTTACAGTAGGCTCCACACTCATCATGAGGTTTAAACTCATGACCTGAGATCAAGGGTCGCATGCTCTACCAGGGCACCTGGGTGGCTCAGTCAGTTTTAGCATTGTCTGACTCTTGGTTTCGGCTCAGGTCATGATCTCATATTTCAGGAGTTCGAGCCCCGCACAGGGCTCTGTACTGACTGCACGGAGCCTGCTTAGGATTCTCTCTCTCCCTCTCTCTCAAAAGAAATCAATAAACTTAAAACAAAAAGTTAAAAAAAGAGTGACATACTTGACCAACTGAGCTAACCAGATGTCCCTAGAATCTCATTCTTACCAGAGTTATTTCGTGATGTGGCACGCTAATTTAGAGAAGTGTCACGTGAAATTATTATTTTTTTAAACTTATATTTGAAAGAGAGAGACAAGGTACATGCAGGGTAGAGGCAGAGAGAGAGGGAGACAATATCTGAGGCAGGTCTAGGCACTGAGCTGTCAGCATAGAGTTTGACGCGCAGCTCAAACTCATGAGCGGTGAGATCATGACCTGAGCAGAACTTGGATGCTTAACCAACTGAGCCACCCAGCTGCCCCATGTGAAATTATTAAAAAAACAGACCAGCACGCTAGGAAGGTTATAACCTTTTAGAATAACTAAGGCCCTTTTCAAGAAGCTTCACTGGTGAAAATTATTTTTTATTTTCAAATACACCTCGTATTTATTGTAGTAGAATATGCATAACATAAAGTGTATTATTGTTTAGTGTATACACAGTGTTATGCAACCATCCACAAAGTCTAGTTCCAGAACATTTACATTATCCATAAAGGAAACTCTGTACCTATTAAAGTGGCCCTTCCCTATTCCCCCATCTCCCAGCCCTTGGCGGCCATCAACCTGCCTTCTGTCTATGTAATTTCTGACCAGGGATATTTCATATGAATGGAATCAGACAACACGTGGCCTTTTGTGCCCAGCTTCTTTTGCTTAGTGTGATGTTTTCAAGGTTCATCTATACTATCATATATATCAAACCATTATTCCTTTTTATGGTTGAATAATAATCATTGCATGGACATACCACATTTTGTTTATTCATTCATCCGTTGCTGGACATTTGGGTTATTTTCCCCTCTTTGCTGTTGTCAACAGTGCTGCCATGAACATTCATGTATAAACTTTTGTTTGAACACCTATTTTTTTTTAAATATTTTATTTATTTCTGAGAGAGAGAGAGAGACAGCGAGAGCAGGGGAGGGTCAGAGAGAGAGGGAGACACAGAATCTGAAACAGGCTCCAGGCTCTGAGCTAGCTGTCAGCACAGAGCCTGATGTGGGGCTCAAACCCACGAACTGTGAGATCATGACCTGAACCAAAGTCAGACGCTCAACTGACTGAGCCACCCAGGTGCCCCTGAACACCTATTTTCAATTATCTTGGCTATCTTCTCAGGAGTAGAATTGTTGGGTCATTTGGTAATCCTACATTTAACTTGTTGAAAAACCTCTTTGTATTTTTAAAATTCATTTTTGTTTTTGGGCTTCTGGGTGGCTCAGTCAGTTAAGCGTCCGACTTCAGCTCAGGTCATGATCTCACAATTCGTGGGTTTGAGCCCCATGTCGGGCTCTGTGCTGACAGCTCAGAGCCTGAAGCCTGCTCCCTCTCTCTCTACTCCTTCCTCCCCCACTTTCCCCACCAACCCCAGCACTCTGTCTCTCCCTCTCAAAAATAAATAAAAACATTAAAAAAATTTTAAATTAGTTTTGTTTTTGCTGATCTAAAGTCTTGCTGGAGGGTGCATTCCCAGAGCCTGAAGAGGAGGCAGGGAGAGAGAGGAGGAAAAACGAAGAAGTACAATGAATTAGTCTTTTAAAAAAAGAAGGATTTATGTTCATGTAATCATACCACCATTGTCACGCCTAACAAAACTAACAGTATGTGTTTTTCTTACTCAACAGGGGACACATCTTCCGGCAGCCACAAGGGATGCTGCGCCTCACAAGGTTTTGCGTAGGTGCTGTGCGGCCATGGGGAAACTGCAAAGCAAACTCAAGCACAGCACGTACAAGTACAGGTTCGGCACTCCTACACAGGGCTCCCACGCTTTACCCTGTGCATTAGAATTCTCCACTAAAGGGGCGCCTGGCTGGCTCGCTCAGTAGAGCATGTGACTCTTGATCTCAGGGTTGTGAGTTCGAGCTCCATGTTAGGTGCAGAGATTTTTTTTTTATTATTTTTTTAATGTTTTATTTATTTCTAGGAGAGAGAGAGAGACAGCATGAGCAGGGGAGGGTCAGAGAGAGAGGGAGTGACAGACTCTGAAACAGGCTCCAGGCTCTGAGCTGGCAGTCAGCACAGAGCCCGACACGGGGCCCGAACCCATGAACCGCGAGATCATGACCTAAGTGAAAGTCGGACGCTCAACCGACTAAGCCACCCAGGTGCCCCGAGATTACTTTAAAAAACTTTTTTTTTTTAATTCTCCACTAAAAAAAGAGAAGGCTCAGAGCAATTATTGATGCCCTTCTCAGAACAGTTTGGTCTGTTTCCTTGTGATGAGAAACAGCTGATTGGCGAGTGTCCGCGGCCTCGCAGAGCGGGGCCCTGCAGCTTTGGGACTAGTCCCCTGGGTGAGCAAAGACTCCGGGCTTCTTGGCTTCAGGGTTCCCCTTTATTGGATTCCAGTCCTTGGGTCATCCTGAGCGTGCCCAGCGTTAATAATCCCATTTCCGGCAGTGGCCGCGGGTGTGCCTTCTATACTCCTTGTCCAGATTTCTCCTCAGCCTCTCCCGTAGCCCCTCCTCTTCCCCGGCCCCGCTGCACTCCATACCGGTGGGCCTCTCATCTGCCTTCCTCTCTTAGCAGGCCCGACGGAATTCTAGAAGAGAGAATTCAGACTAAAGTGTGTCAGGAGTATAGCCCGGCCCACGTGGATACTGTGTCTGTCGTTGCTGCTCTGAGCCCAGACCTGTGTATCTCTGGAGGCAAAGATAAGGTGGGGTGTGCGTGCCTTGCCAGGGAGCCAGCTTCCTGAGGACAAGGGGAGCTGTTTGAGAGGGGCTTTGCGTTAATGGAAGTCGTGTTGACTTGTGTAAAACCGTGGGCTTTAGATTTAGGAACACTGGGTGTAAGTCCCTGCTCTGCCTCCTCCTATTCCTCTGGGCAAGCCGCCTACTGGTTTTGAGCCTCAGTCTCCGTATCCATGAAATGGGGATGATAATACCAGCCTCCCAGGACAGTGGTGAGGATCAGGTGGTGAGATGTTTGGTGATGTCCCAGACCACTCACGTGCTTTCTATAAATGATGAGTGTTATTCCGGCCAACCCATTTTCATACCCACACAGACACAGGAGGTACTTGTCACCAAAAGGAGACTTCCAGTCTCTTCTTTGCAGCTCTTGCCCAAATCTCTACCCTGGTGTGTGTCATGATCCTGCCCTTCTGTGCTCCTGCCCTTCCTCCCACTCTCACCTTGAATTTGGACCCTCCCACCCACCCCATCTGGCTCTGTCACAGCACTCACAGCTAGGACATTGGTAGCAAAAGTGTTGATTCTTTTCATTCCTCTCATTTTCACATTGTATTTCATGGACTCTAAGACGCTTGCGTTTTTATACTTTAGCACCTTGGAAATCAGTGCGCATCCAAAAATTGATGATAGGGGTGTCTGACTGGTTCAGTCCATAGAGCGTACACCTCTTGATCTCAGGGTTATGAGTTCAAGCCCCATGTTGGATGTGGAGCCTACTTAAAAATAATAAAATAAAAATTGATGATAAAGCCTGGTATAATTTAATTGACAGCATTTTGTCAGAAAGTCAGTATCATCTTAGATGTATGAAATTTTATTTATATGATCTTCACCTGTGTGGGGTAGGTAGGGAAGGGTCAGCCTCTCTGTTTTACAAATGAAGAAACTGGGGTTTAACGAGGTCCAGTGCTGACAAGCTCCTTAGTCTCTAGCTATGAACTACCGGAGACCAGGCCAGAGGAGGCGTAGCAGGGAGCCTCCTGCTCAGGAAGAGAAACACTCACCACAGGATATTAAAGTATACACCTGGGAAAAGGATGGAAAGAAAGTTTTAATAATGATTCTCTCTGGCAGATGGAATTATGAGGGTTTTTTTTTGAAATTAGAAAAAAAAGTGTGATCTGGTTTTCAACAGTGTGAATATACTTAACAGTACTGAACTGCATACCTTAAAATTATTAAGATGGTAAATTTTTTTTAAGATGGCAAATTTTTAAATTTTTTTTAAAGAGGGTGCAAGTGAGCATGGGGTGCAGGCAGGGAGAGAGAGAATCCCCAGGAAAGGCAAGGTGTGGGAGAGACAGAGAGAGAGAGAGAAGCAGGGCTCACCCAAAGCAGGGCTCGAGTTCCTCTGATGTGGGACAAACTCATGAACTATGAGACTGTGACCTGAGCTGAAGTCAGATGCTTGACGACTGAGCCACCACAATTTTTTTAAACTACACTAAAATAAAAGTACGACACAAGTGGGGCACCTGGGTGGCTCAGTCGGTTAAGCGTCCAATTTCGGCTCAAGTCATGATCTCGCGGTTCATGGGTTTGAGCCCCGCATCAGTCTTTGTGCTGACAGCTGGCTCAGAGCCTGGAGCCTGTCTTTGGATTCTGTGTCTCCCTCTCTCTCTGACCCTCCCCTGCTCAAGCTGTCTCTCTCTCAAAAATAAATAAAACATTTAAAAATTTAAAAAAAAGTACAACACAAGTAGAGGAGAAGACTCTAATCCCATGTGGCATTTCACTTCATCATCTATAACCAGACCCTCAGCCTGAGTCAGTCCCCCTTGGGGAGTGTCCTCTGAACCCGTCAGTGAGGCTCTGAGGGGCAGCCCGTGGCCCTGGAGACACAGAGGGCTGCTTGGTAGGTCGGGAGGGAAGAAAAGATGTACGGGGGCACACGAGGGGAGAGGCTACAATAAAGCCCTAATGCTCGACAGAGAGGGCAAAATGAGGTGGGGAATGAAGTAACGGCTTGTGGTTTCAGTTAAATAAAAATCCACTTAAAATATTACAAAGATTCTGACGAGTGTGCTGACTCTGCAGACAGTGGTGGCCTATAACTGGAAAACCGGAAATGTGGTGAGAACTTTCAAAGGACATGAACGAGAAATCACGAAGGTAATTATCAACCGGTTATTCTCACGGAGGGAATTTGGAACTGAATAAGGAAGGGAGTATCTCAGAGCTGTGCATACGAAGAGCGAGGGAATATTCAGTCTTAGGGAAAATGCAGGGGCTTCATTTGACGCTGTGAAGGCCTTCTTGAGGCAAAACAGAGCAGACCATCCTCTCATGTTTTGTCACTAAGCCCCTAGTAGCTCAGGTGGTAAGCAGAGAACAGCTGGGAAGAACTCCCCGGACTGTCCTAATTCAGCAGGGGTGCGTACTGAAGGCTGCCTGTGTGTTCACTGTAGCTAGAAAAACGACAGAATCTCCACGCTTGGGAACCTTCCAGTCTAGTTCGGGAAAGTTTTTTAAAGCCAACAATGGTTAAATAAAAATTAATTTTGTTGGGGCAGCTGGGTGGTTCAGTTGGTTAAGCGTCCAACTTTGGCTCAGGTCATGATCTCATGATTCATGAGTTTGAGCCCCGCACTGACTTTGTGCTGACAGCTCAGAGCCCGGAGCCCGCTTCGGATTCTTGTCTCCCTCTCTCTCTGCCCCTCTCCTGCTTGTACTGTGTGTGTGTGTGTGTGTGTGTGTGTGTGTGTGTGTGTGTGTGTGAAAAGGAAATATTAAAAATTTTAAATATTAATTTGTTAAAAAAGCATTACAGGGTAGAGTGAGCTTGCAGCAGAAATGATGGAGAATGCCAATTTCTACAACTGCCGTCTCTGGAATCCCCCTAAATGAGCTAATAATTGGAATTGAGATGGCAGCCCCACCAGAATGAACCTGGGCAACAGCCACAACTCGTGCAGCACAGATTATGGTGTTGAGGTGCCAGGGGCAGGGCCTGCGAGAGCCTCAGGCCCTAACACCCTCATCCTCCTGTTTCCTATTAAAACATTTAAGTTCATTTCTTTATTTTGAGAGAGAGAGAGAGGCAGAGAGGGGCGGGGAGAGATAGGGGGAGAGAGAGAGAGAGAGAGAGGGAGAGAGAGAATCCCAAGCAGGCTCTGCACTGTCAGCGAGCGGAAAGCAAGAGCGGGAGTCTAACTGAGTGAGCCACCCAGGCGTCCCGCCCTGTTTCCCATTTTGAAGTCCAAGCACAGTGGCACCTGGAACAGTTTTTCTCTTGAGCAGATAGCCTGTGTGTGCAGATCAAGCCAGTTCTTCAGCGCCTCTCGTGACAGGACGGTCATGATGTGGGACTTGCACGGCCCCTCCCAACCAAGGCAGCAGTTCTCTGGCCACGCCATGGTGGTCACTGGATTGGCTGTGAGTCCAGGTGAGGTGCAACCGATCTCTTCCCAGCGCTGATGTGCTTTCCAGAAAGCCCCATGCCAGGCCCCTCTCACCGACCCAGCTTTCCCGTGTTTCCCAGACTCTTCGCAGCTGTGCACTGGCTCTCGGGACAACACCCTGCTTCTGTGGGACGTTGGCACCGGACAGTGTGCGGAGAGAGCTTCCGTCTCCAGGAACCTGGTAGGAACTCAAACTTGGCACAGAGCAGGACAGCAGAAGGGAGCAGGGGTGAGGCAGAGAACCTGGGGGAAGGGTCAGAAGACCCACAGCCAGCAGTAGAGGCATGGGTCCTCGTTACCGCTCACCTCGCACCCGGCCTCTTGGCGTTGTCAGATTGGATGATCTTTCAGATCTTCTGTTAGTTCGTGTCAGAGTTTTAAGTCATGTCCTCGTTTACTCCCTCAAAATATACTTACTCCTCATCTTCTGTGCTGGGAGCAGGGTTAGTGGCCCAGGACACAGTCCCTGCCCTCCAGAATCTCCCCGCTTATGCTTGTTGTGTGTTCTGCACACGTATCACTGTGCAGAGAAATAAGCATGTCCCTTTGCTTTGTGTATAATTTGCCGTGTTTATGAAGACCAGTGTTTTCTGGCAGCAGACTGGTATGTAAAGTCCACAGTCTTTGAGGTCAGTCATATGTGGGTTCACATCATGAATCCATCACCTTTATTTTTTTTTAAGTAATCTCTACATCTGACACGGGGCTTGAACTCACAACCCCAAGACCAAGAATCACATGTTTACCGACTGAACCAGCTAGGAGCCCCAACATCCGTCACTTTTTAGCTGTGTTACCCCAAGGAAATTATAGTATGTCCTCATTTATAAGCCGGGGAGAATCCTGTGACCTGACACGGTAGATGTTCCTGTAGTGGACATCAAATATCAGTCCTGGGCACCTTTTCCAACTTTGAAGGCAACTGTCCTTGACAAGGTATGCTCGCCCTATGCCTTCCATATTTGTGGAGGTTGCTGGAAGAAAATCCTGTCACCTTGGGTTGTTTTGAAAACTGTTTCATGCCTGTCCAGCAGGGGCTACAGGGATGGAGAGAAAGAACACTCTTCCTGAACCCCGTGAGGCCTCAGACTAGGGTTTCATGGTCCCACCATAGCAAGGGGGCCACTCTCCTTAGCGGCCGCTCGCCAGCAACTCTCTACCGCGTGTCTGGGTGCCTGCGTGCATTTGGGTGGCACTCGCGTGCATTTGGGTGCTCACAACTGGCCCCACTGCCACCATTGCTCCCGCTCACCCAGGGTTCACCAGTAGAGCACGCCCGGTGAGTGTCTGCACAACACAGAACCCCTCCAGGTCCAATGTATCGTCAGCATCTGTGAGAAGTGGTGCAGAGATGCTAGTTAGCACAGTTGCTGGTTTTTTTTTTAAATGTTTATTTTTGAGAGAGTGAAAGAGCACAAATAGGGGAGGGACAGAAAGAGGGAGACAGAGGCTCTGAAGTGGGCTCTGCGCCGACAGCCTTGGTACTGACGGCAGTGAGCCTGATGCGGGGCTTGAACTCACGAACTCGTGACCTGAGCCAAAGTTAGATGCTCAACGGACTGAGTCACCCAGGCACCCCAAGCACAGTTTACAGGGGTGACAGTAGAAGAATGCTTTGGTATGGAGAAGTTTTGGAAATTTTGCTTTCTCCAGGTCACTCACCTGTGCTGGGTCCCCCGGGAACCATATATACTACAGACTTCTGAAGATAAAACCATCAGGTTGGCTTCCCGAGCAGCCGTGAAAGTGTTTCTGGTGAAGGTTTGTGGTTCCGTGGCTACGTGACTCCCTTCCCCCTCCGCTCCTCCTCATCGCTGTGCCTTCCCAGAGCCTTCCGCCCTTCTGCTTCTGCCCTGCGCTGGGGCTGGGGTCTCTCTGACGGGGCCCCCTGAACCATCTGGGTACAGGTTGGATGCCAAGAGTTCAGACCAGGAAAAAGCCCGTGTCCTGGATGGTTCTGAAGCAGCCGATTCTGTCTGAACCCGCCCTCACCCCCTGTGTGACCGTATTCCGGAGAAGCTCAGGACATCCTTAGGTTAAGCTCATGTTAAGTTGGTCGCCTGCTTCAAGCTGCCTGGCTTCACTTGCCGCCCCTGCACAGCTCCCGATGTCCTCAATCACCTGGCCCCCGAGTGTGGCCTCGTCTGGGGAAATGGGATCGGAATCCCCATGAGGGGAGTCAAATGAAGTAAACCATTCTTGAGTAGAAAGCATGACTAGAAACTTTGGATCTCAGAAGAGATTCATTCTACTCAGAAAATCGCAGGAATGAGGTAAAATGAGACGAGAGGTGGAATAAAACACTCCCCATGGCCCAGGGAGGCCAAGACCTGTAAATGTGTTGTATCTGATTCTAGAATCGTGACTGGTCTTCTGGATCATAATAAGTGTCTTTAAAAAAAATTTTTTTTAAACCACAGGCACAGAAATATCCTCTTCTCCATTGAAAGCATTATCCCAAAGGGCCAGATTAACAAATTAACTTGTATAATTAAGATGCTTGGGCTAAATTCCTATTAACTGGGCCTCAAAATAGAAAGAGCTCAGATGTCTTTCAAACTGGTTATTTCCTGGCAGCTTTGGAGCCTCCAGGCTTGGTCTGGTTCATACTCCTGTTTTTAGGTAAATCATGACATGCCATCTGACTGCCCGAAGCAGCCAAGAGCCAAGATTTATGGTAAAGGGTATTTCAGCCTCTTCTACCACAGACTCATCTCCAGCTGTAATTCCTTGCAGACTGTGGGACAGCCGGGGGCTGCGGGTAGCGCATGTATTTCCCACAAAGCAGCATATTCAGACCTACTGCGAGGTCAGTGAGGACGGACAGAAATGCATCTCCTGCAGCAGTGGCTTTGGAGGGGAAGGCTGCGAAGCCACGGTAAGAGACTGGGGGCGTCCTGGTGGCTGGTGCTGATGAGCAAATTACTTACTCTGACTTCACGTCTATACTGGCTACACAGGGGAGCTCCACTACGGCTCAGGCCTATTCCGGGTGCATACTGTGAGCCTTTACATCCCAGATGTGTCTCTCAAGAAACCTCCTTTAGTCTTGGGCTCTCCAAAGTGGTAGCAGAGGGATGGGCGGAGAGGCAAGATAGGGAGGTGCTAAACATTGAGAACCCGCTGGCTAATGCCCCGTGCCCAGCAGGCCTTAGAAAGGAGAGGGGCTGTCTGAAGAGCCAAGTGTATTTCCATTGTGCTCGTGGTCACAGTAAAGGGGCCGCAGGCTCTTCAGGAAGCTTGGAGCTCCAGCGTTGGTTGAGGGCCCACCCCATCCTGCACCCATTTACCTTTCCTTACAGTGAATTTTGGGTTAGATTGCCGTGGCTCCTTCAAAGTACATGGGATTCCTAATTGTAGAATATAGGTTAAAAGGGGCATCTAGTCCAAATAGAACCATTACAGCCCCCATTTTATCAGACATTACATGCCAGGCACTGGCCTGAGCACATTACACACATTATCTCATTTAATCCTTAAAACAACCTTGTGAGTTAAAGGGTTAAATGCTACAATAATCCCAGTTTTACAGATGAGGAAACGGAGGCATGGCAAGTTGAAATCTGTTGCCTAAGACCACACCTCTACAGACTGAGCCAGCCAGGCACCCCATGACCACACCCTTAGTAAGGGGTAGGGGGAGGCATCGAACCCCAAGCTGTTAGTGTAGCATCTCTTCACCAAGCTAAGCATTTCCAGCTTCTGCAACTGACATGGTGTCCTGTGGTTTCATTGTTCTTCAGACACAATTCAGATCACTCTCCTCTTAGAAAGTTATTGTCCTCAGTTCCGTTGAGTCCGGATTTCATGCCCTTTTGCCCACGGTTCAGTTGGCTCTCCTTCCTGAATGTTGTTCTCTAGCCAGTCTGACTGTTTCAGCGAGAGTGGGATTGGCAGGCCCTCCTTTGTTGTGGGGTCTCGTCTTCATATATCGAGGGTCAGCACGCAGGCGATAAGTCAGAAGGTCTGCGCCTGTGTGTGCTTTCGAGAAGTTGCTCCTGACTCTGCCGTCTCCACAGGACCCACAGAGGCCGTGATGCTGATAGAAGGCAGCTCTTGAGCCGTCCAGAAAGTAGGCAACCCAAGGGCGCCTAGCTGGCTCTGTCGGGAGAGCGTGTGATTCTTGATCTCAGGGTCGTGAGTTCGAGCCCCACATGGGGCGTAGAGATTCCATAAATAAATTAAAACCTTTAAAAAAGACAGTAGGCGACCCCATACTATCCCATCATGCTGTAGGACTTGGAGCTTTCACTTCCCTAACCATGACCTCAATGAGGACAGTGACAACTTTCCCGGCACATCCTTACCCAGGGTTGTTGGAGATGGTTGATGTTTAAGATAATCGCTAGATGGATAGATGATTGTTGTGTGGGTGGGCCGGGTGTGGATCGGGGGTGGCCGTGTGAGCAGGTCAGTGGAGGGAGTCGGTGGCTCATGAGAAGCTGGGAGGATGGCAGTGAGGGAACGAAGCAGGTGTGGAGCTGGAGAGGTATGCGTGTGCCAGCCGGCCTGTGTCGTTACTCTGCAGCTCTGGGACCTACGGCAGACGCGGAACAGAATATGTGAATATAAGGGGCATTTCCAGACTGTCGCATCCTGTGTCTTTCTACCAAGAGCTTTAGCCTTGATGCCTACAATTGCTACCTCATCACATGACTGCAAAGTGAAGGTCTGGAACCAAGATACTGGAGGTAAGGAGCCTGCTGGTGGTGTTTCTCAAAGCTTCGTGGGGTCCTAAAAGCTTCCCCGAAACTCTCTCTGTTGCTCAGCAAATACAAAGCCACTCGTGTCCTACCACTGTCCAGGCCCCCAGTGGTTACGAGATGACCAGGATTCTGTTCAACCTCTGGCTGGAAGCCATCACCACATGAGCCCCGGGACCGTATTGTGCAGACTTGTTCCCGAGAGATCAAATATATTTGGCTCTTAGTGTTCTTTCTACCTCAAGTTCTGCATCAGGTTGTAACATGTGATGCTCCAAATGTCTGGGAAAGAGAACATGAACTGCCACTTTAAAATTCTGTTTCCAAGGACTAAAATGAGAGCCTCAGCTCTCAGTGGGGCTGAGGGAGAGTAGAGACAGTCCCAGAAAGACTGCTCCGTTCTGAGGCTGCAGCTGCGGTCTGAGGTCGCAGCAAGGCCATGACGCCTCATAGCACCAGAAAGGTGTTTCAGGGAACACGCTGAAGTGGGGTGCCAGGGCCCCTCCTGCTGGCTGATCGCTGGGTGTTCGGAAGATTTACTACAGACTGGCAAGTGCTATGAGTCGTGGTGGTGGGTTCTTTCCTTCCAGAAAGCTGCCTCGCTAGCACCCCGCTGCCCCCATACTACTTTCTTTTTTTGAAGTTCACTTATTTTTCAGAGAGGCAGAGAGAGCACATGCAAGCGAGTGCACACAAGTGGGGGAGGGGCAGAGAGTGAGGGAGGGAGAGAATCCCAGGCAGGCTTTGTGCTGTCAGCCCAGAGCCTGTTGCGGGGCTCAATCTCCCAAACAGTAAGATCATGACCTGAGCCAAAATCAAGAGCCAGACATTAAACCGACTGAGCCCTCCAGGTGCCCCCATGCTGTTTCGTCCCGGACACGGGGTTCTGTCAGACACAGGGAGCAGTGTTAACCTAGCAAACCTCACAACAAATCCCTCCCCCAGTAAACTTCCAGAAAGTTAGCTCCCGGCAGGGGAAGGTAGGGGAGCACCCTCAGAGAAAAGCTGTGACATCATGTCTAGTGGCATACAGCCGAACTTCTAAAGGGAGGGCGGCCCAGCTGTGCCCCCCGGCGCTGCCCCCCCACCCCCACTGCCCAGTGCAGCAGTGTAGCAGGCGGGGAGAGCAGCTCTCTCAGGCCCAGCGTTCATAACCCTGGGACCAGGGAGAACAAGGGCTGAAAGTGCCGCCCTGCCCACCAGGTGCCCCCATGGCCTCCGAGACGGGCATGGGGGAGCCTGGGTCGGCTGGAGGCCCTCAGACTACCCTTGGGGCCCCAATGTCCTCTGTCCTGAAGGAAGCAAGACCCCGAGGCCAGCAGCTGGGGGCGAGTACCCTTGTGTGTCCTCCCCTGCCCTGGCCCCTGCCTTGCTCTCTGGGCAGGTGGTGACTGAAGGCAGCGCGTTACCACGTCCTTGCAGGCGAGGGCCCCGCTGTGTGAACGTGCTTCTAAGTGATCCACATCTTGTTTGATCCACGCGCCCTCCTCTGTGGTCGAGGCCGTGCGGCTGACCCCGGTGTGACTTCCCCGCCGGCACACGGTCCTCTGAAGCGGGGTGCTACCCCTGTCTGGGTTACATGGAGGTAGCACGTGCTTTATTTACATGGGCTTGTCGCAGAGACCTCGCGTTCCGTGACACCGTGCTCTTGGCCTAAGCTGCTGGTTCCCTCTCCCCCACAGCCTGCTTGTTCACCTTGTCCCTGGATGGATCGGGCCCTTTGACTTCCCTGGCTGTTGGCGACACTGTCTCCTTGCTATGTGCGAGTTTCAGCCGAGGAATTCACCTGCTCAGGGCAGACTACGGCCAGGGGCTGGCACTGCGGGAAGTGGCGGCTTTCTGAGGCCAAGAGACGTTCACCGGACAATATCAAACCATGGCCTGTCCTTTCTCAGTGTGGCTTTGTTCTCCCCAGTGATCCTGTGGGCGGGGGGGGGGGGGGGGGGGGGGGGGGCGGCACTCCAGTCACAGGGTTCTCTGCTTTGTTTCACCCAGAGGGCAGAGCAGGGTTAGAAGTCAGTTGAAGTCCAGGCGCAGTTTAGAAACATGAACTAAACATAAAGTTCTCCATCAAAGTGAAATCCAAATGCAGTTTTCAGTGACCTTTTGGGACTGCTCTTCCAAAACCAAGTTTGTGGCTCTAGATGATGCCCTGCACGGATGAGATAGGCCTCTGTGGGTCAGAGCCCAGGGTTGAGTCTGTGGAACTGGCCTGTCCCATGTCTCCACGAAAGAAGATGCAGGGGGGAGGGAAACCATTCTGGCGGCCTCGAGGTGGTCCAGACAGGAGAGCACAGCGCCGTTCCGTAGCGGAAACGGGTCGTAGACATGAAATTAAGCTCCAGTCACTGCTCCTCAGCAAGGTGAAGCATCAAAATTAAGGCAAGAAAGAAGTCTTGGCTTCTCCTTACAGGAGCCGCAGAGTGAGAGGTGGGTCTCAGACCAGTGCTGAGGCGGCATGAAGATTAGACCCCAGATGGCTTGCAAAGGCCACAGCCAACGGGCCTTGCCCAGAATCCTGGTTGTCAAACCTGTACTGTGCGTAAGCAAATGGAGAGGTCTGGGGCTCCTGAGTGGCTCAGTGGGTTGGGTGTCCGACTTCGGCTCAGGTCGTGATCCCACAGTCCATGAGTTCAAGCCCCACCTTGGGCTCTGTGCTGACACATCAGAACCTGGAGCCTGCCTTGGATCTGTGTCTCCCTCTCTCGGTCTGCCCCTTCCCCACTCGCACTCTGTCTCTCTCAAAAATAAATAAACATTAAAAAAGAAGAAAGAAAATGGAGAAGTTCTGAGATTAAGGCTACAAATAATTTCATTTGTATATTTTAATATTTTTAGTTAGTTTTATATAAACTCTTGGGGATGGCCAGCGTGAGGCTAAGGGGAATCTACAATAACAACAGAACATAGAGAAAACTGAGGGATGGACTCAACTGTGTGCCAGCTACGGAGTGCCCCTCAGTGAGAACGGGCACTGTGCTCAGGTCAGCCTGGGCGGCCCCTGAGACATCAGTCCCCAGCCCGGTGCTCACAAGCCCATTTCCTTCAAGGAGGATAGAGTCCCTCCTGCCTTTAGGTGAGTCCACACATAAGGCAACAGAGGCCTGGGGATTCCCTTTCTGAGGAGTCCCAGCCAAAGAGAGACTTTGCGTTTGTCCTTTCGGGTCCCTGCCTGTCCCTGCTACCAGGAGATGACAGCCATCTTCCTTGTCTCCCTCCTGGTCCTCTTTGGGGCAGGCTTCCCCGTGCGACGATCTTAAGCTAGCGCCCAGTGTCAGTCCTGAGTTTGAATCTCCACTTCTCCCTTTAGCTGGGTGAGCTTGGGTGTTGTAAAATCGCAGCTTCCTCACCAATAAGGTGCAGCTAATAATAACACGTTCCTCACAGCGCTGTTCTGAGGACTGGACAAAACTGTATTAAATGCCAAGCAAGGTAAGGATAACCTTAATTATCGCTCTCTGTCTGGACTAAACACTCTCCTTTCCTCACAACACATTTACCATTTCCTCACCCATTCTCCTTACATCTTATTTCTAAGCCTTTAGTCCTTTTTTGGCTTCCCTTTGACTCCTTAAGTTACGGCTCTTTGAGGTGCGGAAGGACTAAGGGCTAGCGGGAGAGGAAGCTACTTCACTGACCACCCGTGGCCGGCTGGATACGTTTATTCTCACTACAAGTCTTGTTATTCCCGTGTCGCAGATGAGGAAGCTGAGGCCCAGGAACATCCAGTCCTTCGCCCCAGGTTACGCACAGAGGCAGGGGAAGGAACTGAGGAACAGGAGGAAGGGGAAGAACTAAGCTCTGGCAGCAGGGATGCTCACCACTGTACTAACGAGGAGGAAGAACTGAGATCCGAACCGGGGTCTGCCCAACTCGAAGCCAGACTACTTTCCTTCCCTCCCATTCCTTTGGCATTGCGTGATGCCACAAAGTTCATTTTAGAAATTCTTGACCAGTCCCTTTCGGCTCCGAGGAGACCCTCCTGGCCAGGTGCCCAGAGACAGTACACAGGTGCCTCGGGGACAGTGCTAACACACCCTGACCTGCTCATGCGCCAGCTAACCCGTTCTTCGGGAAAGAAGGCAGACAGCAAGTCAGAAGGTCTGACGCGGTGGGTTGGGAGGGGTTCCCGGGAAAAGGGAACAGAGGGAATGTAAAGGTGAGAAAACTGTAGGCCTCTGATGAATTAGCAGGGTTCTATTAGCAAAAAAATTGTTTCCCTGAACTCTATGCATTTGCTTGATGTAAAAATTCTTACCTGTGCATTTTAAGTGGAAAGCAGATTAATAAATGAAAATGTTTGGATTTTTAGTCCTACATGCCCTAATCAGACACTCTCAGCTACTGCACGCTGCTGCAATGCATTAATTTGTTCACTGGACATTCACTGAATACTTCATCTTAGAGGCTGCCCTGTAAAATCATGTGAAAGATTTTTCCAAAGACAGTTGACCTTTTTTTCCAGAAAGGCATATAATCCCTTAGAATCTGACCAATTATATACTTAAAATTTAAGGGAATTTGTATATTATATAAGCTAAATATATTTATTTCTGAGGACCGCCTATCTCAGTTGGTAGAGCGTGCAAACCTTGATCTCAAGGTTGTAAGTTCAAGCCCCACATTGGGCTCACTGCCCTCAGCACAGAGCTTGCTTCTGATCCTCTCCTCCCCTCTCACTCTACCCCTCCCCTGCTTGCACTCTCTCAAAAATAAATTTTTAAAAAATATTTTAAAAAAGATCTTTATGGGTGCCTTGGTGGCTCAATTAGTTAAGCATCTGACTCTTGGTTTTGGCTCAGGTCACGATCTCATGGTTCATGAATTGGAGCCCCTCATCAGGCTCTGCACTGACAAAGCTTGGGATTCTCTCTCTCTCTCTCACTCTCTCTGCCCCTCCCCCACTCTCTAGATAGATAGATTGATGATAGATAGATAGATAGATAGATAGATAGATAGATAAACTTTAACAAAAAATCATGAAAAATCTTAAAATATATATATATTTATTTCAGGAAAAGTGAGTCATGATTATTAACAGCTTTTTTTGGCAGATGAAACTTACAAGATGATCTTTATTTTTACTTAAAGTTTAATTTTTTTAATGTTTATTTGAGAGAGACAGACACACAGAGCATGAGCAGGGGAGGAGGAGAGACGGGGAAACACAGAATCCGAAGCAGGTTCCAGGCTCTGAACTATCAACACAGAACCTCACATGGGGCTTGAGCCCAGGAATAGTGAGATCATGACCTGAGCCTAAGTTGGACACGTAACCAACTGAGTCACCCAGGCGCCCCTATTTTTACTGAAAGTTTAAAAATGATCTGGAAAAGTTACAATCTGAGTGCTGTTCTTCACACATACTCTAGGCTGTATGTAATTTATTTCCCAATTTGTATTCAAAATACTGTTTTTTAAAAATAGCCAACAGCTTGGGGCACTTGGCTGGTTCAAGTGGAAGAGCATGCAACTCTTGATCTCTTAAATAAATAAAACTTTAAAACTAAAATAAAATAGAGGGCACTTAGGTGGCTCAGTTGGTTAAGCATCCGACTCTTGATTTTGGCTCAGGTCAGGTCATGATCTCATGGTTCATGAGTTCAAGCCCTGCACTGGGCTCTGCACTGACAACATGGAGCCTGCTTTGGATTCTCTCCCTCCCTCTCTCTCTCTGTCCCCACTCTCAAAATAAATAAACATTAAAAAATAAAATAGCTACAGCTATTAAAGCATTATGATAGAGTACGTATCATTGGTATTATCAAAGTATCAAACAAGTCCCCAATATCACTATCTTCCTGAGCAAGGATTATTAAAGAACGTTCCCCAGGAATTCTGAGTCTACCGTCATTGATGAAATACTTCCCGGCAGAAATGTAATGTTTTTAACACTAGTATCGAGAGACGTGTTTTCAGTCTGAAACGGCCTTGATTTCTGACACAGGAATTACAAGTATAGAACTCGGGTCACTTTGGTGTTTTTAATCTCTCAACACTGAAAAAGGAACTTTGCTCTTTCTGCATAGCCTTTTGAAAACAGAATGAGTAAAGAAAAGCTTCATCCTGAAAATTGCAGCAGTCTGCTGGCTGTTTCCTGACGTGGGCACCTCCTGGCACAGACTACCCACCAAACCCTACATTCCCTGCCAGCACGGCCGTGAGAATAAGTTCTTGTCAGTGGACTGTAAGTGGAAGTGATGTGTGTAACTTCTACCTTATTAGCTCCAAAGAACGTGTTTGTCTGGGATTACCGTCCCGGGGCCCTTGCTGCTCGCTGCAGTGCAGACCGCCAGGAACAGCTTCAGCTGTTCAGATAAGGACACGATGATGGAAGAGCAGGAGAGGAGCCCCACATGATCCTGAAATGTGGAGCTGCTCTGCCAGCCTGACCAGCCAGGAGACTGTGACACAAAAGAGAAATGAACTTCATCCTTTTTAAGCCACTATAAATATTTTTTAACTTAAAAAAATGTTTATTTATTTTGAGAGTGACAGAGTGGGGGAGGGGCCGAGAGAGAGACTCCCAACCAGGCCCTGCCCTGTCAGCGAAGAGCCTGACATGGGGCTCGATCTCACAATCTGTAAAATCATGACCTGAGCCGAAATCAAGAGTGGGTCGCTTAACCAACTGAGCCTCCCAGGTGCCCCTCCAAAGCCACTATATATATATATTTAACTTTTAATTCAAGTATAGCAATCATAAATAATTTCAGATGCCCTAAGTTTATAGCTTGCTGATTCTCCATAAGCCAGACATATGCTAGTAACCAGTACCTCCATGAAGAATTGTGATACATCCTGGAACCCGGAACTCCCTCATTTCCTCAAATACAAAGAAATCCATACTCTATATTTAATATGCTACTTTCGCAATCATAATTTC